GATGGGTTTCTAAGTTCTTCTTGCAACCACTAGAGATTGTCCAGATCTGGGAGGGCTCCAAGGGAGCAATTCAACCCTCTCCTTGCAGCAGACACCTAGAGATAGCAAAGGAAAGACTCTGTTGTCTCTGCTGACTGTGTGGACCAGGTTTGCATCGGCACAGCAAGAGCTGAGATGGACACACAGACACACCTGCCATGCAAACACCTTCAGGTGGCTGAATTTGGACCTGAATTTCAGCCTCAGCTGTACACTGTTCAGACAGCAAAAACCTCAGGCATCTAAATATAGGGGTCTAGTGCCATGTGGGGTGCCCTGGGGTATCTGAGGCCTCTGTGGAGGGCTGGCTGCTGGGATACAGGACTAACAGGAAACCCAGGCTTTCCTGGAGAGGCAGGAGGAAGCAGGGCAGGATGCTGCTGGGTGGCTCATGCTGCACTAGATGCCAGTCCACAAGCCAGTGTCATGAGCTGCAGTTCAAACACCTCTCCTGGGTTATCTGCAGCAAGATCAAGGTCAGTATGAAACACAGAAGTGGAGACGTGTGGATTCACACATGGAAATGTGCACATGGAAATGAGGATGATGTGTGAGTAAGGGGATGAGTTCCTCATGTGGATGAAGAAGACTGAGACTGGCAGGCAGTACCCCTGCCGTACCCACCAAGGCCTCGGGAGAAGAAAGACACAGGGGGTTGGTGCAGGTGACAACTGTTTTGGTGTTTCTAAGTGCCAGTGCCTTGAGCACAGTCGTTTTTTCATTCTGTGGTACAATATCAAACTTGGACTCCGGGGTGTAAACAGGACACCCTGAAAAACCTGGATGTCTAAAGCGTTTTTGCTGCTTTTAGTCCTTAGCTAAATGCAGATATTTAAGGGGTTAGTGATTTATTTGCATTGCACATTTTTGGCTGATGATGGAAGTAAACAAAGCATTAGCAATAACACCTCAAAAACATCAACAGAGTGTTTTTGTCTTCTGCTGTGGCTGAAGCTGCCAGGTAAGTCAACATGAACATGATGTTCCTTTGGGCTTTTTACTAGAAGATCATGTGCTCTGTGAGGGATACTAAGCAGAAAGTCCTGTGTTTAATATCAGCAGATCTGCTTTCAAACAGGATTAAAGCCCAACTATAAGTAAGAAAGCAAGAAAAATGTTTTCACTAGAATTGAGTTAGTCCCTGGGTGTGTGGTTTTCATCAGGTTCAGCTCCAGGATCTGTGTTGCTCTTAGAATGAAGTTCCTTACAAAAATGCATTAGAGAGTGACCCCACAAATTATTTGAGCTTTGGGCTTGCCACAGTGGTTGAAAATTATTGTTCTTGGATTAAATCTCCAAATCTTTCTTAATCTTTTGGCTATGCCACTAGAACTGGGTCTGTCCTGAACTTTTGTAAGTCAGCCCCTGGCACTGCTACCTGAGTGTTGCCAATTGCTGTATTGTTTCTCCCTGGGCTGAATGGTTTCTTTCTAGGCAGTTGATTAAATCAGCTAAATTAATGTTGGTGGGACAGAGTGTTCTCTGACGAGAACCAAACCACTGCATTAAAACAATTGAAAATAGGTTGTTTTTTTTTTTTTTTTTTCCTTTGGTTCCATGTATGTCTGCTCAATTATATATTGTACAGCTGTTTTCCATACCCTGAAACTTCAACAGTTAGAGTGATGATGGCTGGCACTGATATTAATTACAGAGTCAAAATACAGAGTCAAAAGACTCTATATGCATTCAGGTTTTTGAATGCAAAGGACTGAAGAGATATCTCTGCTACTGAGGTTGAAAAAAAAAACAAAACAAACCCAAAACAACAGAAGTACCAAACAACAACCCAAACACTCATCTTAAATGATTCTATTGAAAACTCCCAAATCTTCGTTCGCGAAGCCTAGCCATGATGATTGAAAACACTAAAAAACTGCAGTTGTCCTTATTTTTTCGTATTGTTTGACTTCAGGCCTGAGTTATTTTACGTGCCTTTGGTATCCAACAGATGTACTTCTAACACTACACAGCTCAACATAAAAAGCAGAGCAAGAATAACTCACTGTAAAAATAATTTATTTAAGGCCAAAACCTCCAGATCTCCCTGTTGGCAGAAGTGGGACTCAGAATTCTCTGACCTTTGGCAGTGGGACAATCCTGCCTGTCACTGCCACCTATGATCCATGGTGAGGGGATCACTTAGGAACAGTTGGGCTTCTAATTGTTCCCTTTGGTTCTCTGATACCCAGTCTCCCTAAGTTCTTTGTGTGTTATTTTTCTAGATCATCTTCTCTCCCTTCCCATCCTGAAAATAAGAGTTTTGTTGAGAGACTGCTAAAAGCAAAATGTTCCTGTATATAGAATGACAACACAGTGGCATCTAAGTCAAATTCTATAATCCCCACAAGAGTCTTAGTGAAAGCCACAAGGAAAAATTGATTTGGAAACGGATCCAGGTATAAATCTTTTAGTAGAAAGCGGGTTCCTTGTAATATCAGTGTGTGTGTCCTCCTAGGGGTATCATAAGAAGCTGAACATTTGGATGCTCCATTTATTTATTACAGCCTTGGTTTTAGGGACACAAAATGAACAAATTAATTAAGAAAGAAAATCAGAGTATGACAATTCCTGAGGGAATACTTTGTCTCTTCTTGCCCCTCTCCCAGATACCCACATATTTGTAATGGATATATGCACAGGACATGTTTCTGGAGGCAGCTGATGGCACAGGAGATGAGCTGACCTGTGTCTGAAGCTCATGTGTATAAGTTAAAGCATTTAAAACCCCCTTATGTGAGGACTCATTGTAGAGTTCAGTGGTTTCTTGTGACACTGATCTGAAGTCAGTTTGCTTGTGGCTGCAAAAATTGCACATTTTTTTAAGAAATGAGCTGACTTCACAGCTTTCCCTGATTTTTCTAACTTCCCTACAAGTCCCAGGTACTGCATAGCCTCGGTTTGCTTTGTAGGCACTTCTCTTGTAACCATTGTCCCCGACACACACTCCTCTCAGGAATGTTTGCCTTGTCAAAAAAATGGAGCTGAGCCTTTCTTGTTGTTCATTAACCCTCTTCTCTTTCAGAACAGATGTCCCCTAAAATTTACAGAAAGAAAATCTCTGTATGGAGAAAACACTAATTGTTGTTTCAGAAAAGTGTTGTTTGATTTATTCAAATGCACTCTTTTCCTGCCCCGGGATCAGCTAGGTAAGTAAACTGCCCATGGTGAATGAGAGAGAGGATTGTCAGTTCTCTTCAAGGTTTTAAAAAACAATTTAATCTCAGACCATTTAGCTGCAATAAAGCAGTAGGTGGTCAGGACTGCTGCTTATCAGATTGACTATCCTGGGACCATCACTCATGTTCTCCTTGTGCCATCCTTTTGGCCTTGGAGCATTTTCTTAGTGCTCACTGGACATGGTCAGGAGAGGGGTTTCACTCCTTTTCTACAGTGCTTTGAGCAGATTACTAACAAAGGATGTCAGGTATCATAGGATCAGGATTGTTTGGGTTGGAAGGGACCTTGAAGATCACCCAGTTCCAACCCTCTGCCATGGGCAGGGACAACTTCCACTCGACCAGGTTGCTCGAAGCCCCGTCCAACCTGGCCTTGAACATTTTCAGGGATGGGGCAGTCACAACTTTTCTGGGCAACCTGTGCCAGCACCCCAGCGCCCTCAGTATAAAAAAAATTCTTTATTTTATCTAGTCTGAATCTACCCTCTTTCAGAGAGGTAATACATTTCATTTGATTGGTCATGTAACTTGCATGTGGGATTATAAATTGTTACTGAAATTGGCAATAAGAAACCCCTAAAACTTAATTTGTGAGCATTGGTGGTCAGACATTCTTTTATTATCAGTGCTGGGCACACAGGAGGATTGCCCCTCTGATCATGTGTGACCCATTCTCGGCTCAGCATAGCTAATACTTATCTACAATTTTACATATTCAGCAAATGTCTTGCATATTCACTACTTCTCTTATAAAGTTCATACGTATGTTAATTAGTCCTAAGAAGTTCTTCAGAAGTCCTTATTTGGTTACTAGGGGGTCTCCTGGTGGTCTCTTGGTGGTCATTTGAAGCGTGAACTTTACTTGAACTTGCCCGTTGAGCAGCGCATTTACAGCTGGTTGGTTACAGAGCGCCTTTGTTCAGTGTCTCTTATCCAAAAAGTGGATACTCAGTGTACCACTACTACCACTACTTCAACTAAACCATAGAATCATAGAATCAGCCGGGTTGGAAAAGACCTCTGAGATCATCAAGTCCAACCCTTGATCCACTACCACGGTAGTTACTAGACCATGGCACTGATGCCACATCCAGTCTCATCTTAAAAACCTCCAGGGACGGAGAATCCACTGCTTCTCTGGGCAGCCCATTCCAACGCCTGATTACCCTCTCTGTAAAGAATTCCTCCCTAATATCTAAACCTAAACCTCTCCATGCCCTCGTCTTACTGATAGTTGCCTGGGAGAAGAGACCAACCCCCACCCAGCTCCTGTCAGGGAGTTGTAGAGAGTGATGAGGTCTCCCCTGAGCCTCCTCTTTGGGCTGAACAGCCCCAGCTCCCTCAGCCTCTCCTCACAGGACTGGTGCTCCAGTCCCTTCACCAGCCTCGTTGCTTTCCTCAGAAACTCGCTTATTTCGCACCCTCCTCAACACAAACTTCCGACAGAAAATTACCGAGCGGCGGATAATTATTGCTCTTATTTTTACATTGTGATAGGCCGGTGGGGGGAAAAAAAAATAATTACAGAACAACGGGGGATTATTGCTCTCAATACCAGCCGCTCAAAGACGATTTAAAACACCACCTTCTCCCCGAATAAAAACGCGACTCTTTTTTTTTTTTTTTTTTTTTCTGCTACGCCCTCGCCCCCCGCCCTTCCCTTCCCTTCCCTCCTCACGGCGACTACAAGCCCCCAAGAATGCGGCGCCGGGCGCCGCCCTTCCGCCGCCGGGGCGGGCGGCCGAGCCGGGCGCCGCCGCCGCCTTTGCGGACTGGAGGACGATGTCTCGCTGCAGCCCCGCCGCCCGCCTGCTCGGCCGCGTCCTCCGCGTGAACAGTACCGGACGCGGGCCCTCCCCGCCGCCCTGGCACCGCTGTTGGGCCCACGGGGGGGGGGCAGGGCGGGGACCAGGGGCAGGGCTGGGCAAGGTCACGGCGGAGCCGCGGCATGCTGAGAAGGGGCCGCGGGCGGCCAGCGGGGGTGTCCCCGGCGGGGACCGGCGGGTGTCCCGCCGCGTCGCAGCGCTGCTCCGGGCGCCGGCTTTGCCCTCCTCGGAGCGCGCTGGCAACTGCTCTGCGGGGCAGGGTACGGCCTGGCTGCGAGGAGGCTGGTTAATAAAATATACGGGAAGTTTGTTTTTTTTCCCCGCGGAGGGTGGGCGCCCGCGGGGACGGGGAGCGAGGAAGGTTGTTCTTCTCCGCGTTGCGGCCCCGGAAAGAATAAAAAGGTCAAGGGCCAGAGGAAGCTGGTAGAGGTGGGTGGTGGGTTGGGCGAGAGGCCGCTTGAGGCCCCTGAGTTACCCTGTGGTTTCAGCACAAGGCGGTGAAGTTGTTTTTGTGTGTTGGCCTCTTTTTGTGGAGAGCACGAGCAGTCCGACGCTAATACTTCGGCTTGAAACATTTACTGAGTGTTGTGGAGAGCACGAGCGGTCCGAGACTAGTACTTCACCCGGAAACATTTAATATGTGTTGTTCTGAACATCATAATAAAACAACAAAGTGCTTCCCTTTTTTTCTTTTTATTCCTTTTTTTTTTTTTCTCCGTGCTTTTTTTGCTCAGTTAAAGCTACGTTCTCTATTGAAGAGGAGACTTTGCAAGGGCTTGTAGTACACAGAAGGGGGGATGGCTTTAAACTGAAATAAAGTAAGTTTAGATTAGCTTTAGGAAGAAATTATTGGCTGTAAGAGTGATGAGACCCTGGCACAAGTTGTGGATGTCCCATCCCTGGAAGTGTCCAAGGCCAAGTTGGACAGGGCTTGGGGCAACCTGGTCTGGTGGAAGGTGTCCCTGCCTATGGCAGGGGGTTGGAACTGGGTGGTCTTGATGGTCCCTTCCAACCCAAACCATTCTGTGATTCCATGAAATTAGTGTGGGTCACAAGAGCAGTTTCTTGGAATCTGAACTGAGGAAATAGTGCATTAATTTGGTTCTTGCAGCTGAAAATGAATGGACGAAGTTAAATCTACCTCCTTTCACTCCACACAAAGTGTTTTTGTCTCGGTGGGATGGTGACTTGCAGGTCAGGGTCTGGCAACAGGATCTCACAGCCATAATCTGGTGTGAGTAGTTCCTGTGGCACACCTGCTGTCCAGTTGGGTATCCATTCCTGCCTCTTGTTCTCCGTGAACAGGAACAGAAAACTATTTTCTTACTATACAGTTAATTTCTGCCACTTTAGCTTTTGAATTGGCTCCCCTGAGCCTGATGACAATTGGTTCTGATGGAGGGGAACAGATGGGAATGTAGCACCTTCCAATTTAGTTTAATTTATACTCCCAGCAAAGCTACTCTTGGGTGCAGTTTTATGTGTTAAAACTCCACATTGTTCCCTTTACAAATAGCAGTAAGAGATTCAGGGAATAGTTCTTAAAATTATTTTGAGGGGTAGAGGAAAAGAAGAGATCTAAGGGGCTCAAGAAATGTCTTTTTGCAGCTGTTCATGAAATCTTTTAGAGAAACTCATGCAAGATGACGTAGTCTTTCATTGGAAACCTTTGCTTGGTTTGATAGTCTTTACAAAATGTTAAAAAACTGCTGAAACCTTAAATTTGGACTTTGTGCATACATTTTCACTAACAAATAATTACCATCTGTTTCTCTTAGTGATTTAAAACCATGAATTTCTGGTGTTGTTCTGTTGCAAAAGAGATGCAAACTCTTATTTTTGTTGCTGCGTTGCTGAGGGAAACTTGCAGGGTGTGTATCCTTAAGGTTTGAATCAGGAAGCTGCGAAAAGAGAGTATAAAATATGTCAGTGAATGGCAAGTGCTGCTCAGAGGTCAGTTCAGAGCACTGGTTGTATGTGGATGGAGTCAGGAGAAAACAGTGCTGGTCTGTACCACACTTAGAAGAGTCTTTTCTAGGCACCTGAATGGATTGGAGAGTCAGGATTAGGGATTTCATGTCCTGTGCCTGTTAGAAGGCTCTGGAGAGCTCTTAGATTAAAAGATTACAGTAATTATGTGAGTAACCCTGGCAAAGGATTGCTGCAGAAATAGCAGCCCAAACTGAGGAATTCCTGAATTGTTGTTATGTCAACAGTGTGGAGAGAGGAAAGCTCACAAAGCTTTTCCTGCATGCGTTCTCAGTGGAGTGTGCCTTGGAGTGGGGAAAAGCAGCTTGTTGGCATTAAAGAAATAGATAATTTGTGCTGAGAAGGAACTTTTGAGTTAGGAGAGAAAGATGTGTTGAAAGGGCTGAAATTTTTCTGCGTGTCATTTCCCATTAGTCCTAGCTTCATTTTGATGTGGTAGGTGTAGCACAGTCATTGCATCTGCCCTTTACAGCCTGATTCATTGACTTAATTCCTCAACTCCTATTTCATGTTCACAGATTGGGGTTGCCATAATTAACAGGAATTTGGCAAGAGAAGGGTGAGAGAAGAGTGGCTGGGGACTGATACCTAGAAATGCTCTGAGAGCATAATCCTCTTAAACAAAGGAGCAAGATATTTTGAACAATCCCTCACGAGCGTGAAAACTTCTTTGTCAATAAGGATCATCTTCTGCTAATGTAACTGATAACCTCAAGGGTGAATTCTGGAGGTGGGTTTATGCTCTTCTGTGCTGTCAGAAGCTCCCCAGAACTACTCTGTCCTCCTCAGGCCTTGCATTTGTAGGCAGACGAAGGAGAAGGAAGGTGGTCATAAAAGTGCAAATTAAACGTGTCCAAAATATCAAAAGGATTTCTCAGAAACAAGCTGAATGCCCATAACTAATTGAAGATAAAGAGAGGGGTGGGATGTGTGTGTGTGTAAAAAAGGATTTCTTAGCATTTTAAGTAGCATTCCTTGTACCTCAGTCCTTCCCTCAGTTTCCCCTGTGGTGATCTCCATTTCCTCCATTTCACTGGAGCCCATATGATTTCTAAGGCTTTCTTCTTTCCTTGCTTATGTAATAGAAGAGGAATGTCTTCCTTCATCCCTGAGTTCTGTGGCTTCTTCAAAGAGTAACAGAGGAAGAATTTCATTTATAACTTTTCAGTCTTCTGGCAATGTGGGTATGAGCTCAGGTCCCTGTAGAATCTGCTGTTTCATCTTGCTATTATACTGTGCTTGCTTTATGAGCACCCTCAGATGTTACCTCACCTTCCAAATTCCATTTTTTTTTTTGATCTGGGTTAAATGGGGGTAAAGAAGGGGGCACTTTGGCTGGATTCCTGTCCATAGGAAATCTTACAAGAGTCCTGAAAATAACAAGTTTTCCACTTTGTATAGTTTGAGTGAAGAAGAGATTTAGCCCTTAGTATCTGTGCTGCCACCTGGCTTGCACAACCCAAATAAGTTGTGGGCTGGACTAGATGACCTTTAAAGGTCCCTTCCAATGCAAACTATTCCATGATTCTATGAAATGTAGCTCGGGTTGCATTGTTTTAAATGAGATTTTTGCCTGTGAGGTGTTGCTGCTCAAGGAGTGCCTGAAAGCTCAGTGTGAACACCAGTGTGCTTTAAAACACCATGTAAATGGGTCAGTTTTCTTTTTAATGTGCAAATTCATGATTGGACTTCATGATAAATAACAGGGTATTTTTCAAAAAGATTTGTTCATTGTAATTCACAAGTGAGCTTAAAGCCCTGCTGGAGCCCATGGATAATGAGGTTTTTTCCTGAGATAGATGTAGGTGGATTTCTCTGTTTCTTGAACTGCAGTGAGTTCTGGGCTTGGCTGGGGCCTTGTTTCTGGACATGCCAGAGTAACTACCAGCACAGTGTGTGTGTTGGAGTATCTGTCTGTAGTTTTTAGTAAGTTTTCTTTACTGTAAAACAGTTGATGTTCCATATACAGGCTTTTTGCTAAATTTAGATCTTGCTTTACATCTCCTCTGAGACAGCTGGGGTTTGGTGTTTGAGCACTTTTCATAACTGCTTGGTTATCCTGTACAATGGGCCAAAGTAGGCTCTTGCCACAGTACGTCTCAGTTTTTAGCTATCTAGAAGTTAAAGGACTGGAAAGCCAAAATAAATGCATCTTGTTATTTGTATAACTTTATTTTTAAACAGAACAGAGGTGTGGCAGAAATGAAAGGGTTGCCTGGGAAAGATTGTCCAGTCTCTTGTTTTATTTTTAATACTCTTTGCTAAAGGCCTATTGCAGGCCTTCGTTCAACTTAGAACTCTGATTTGACAAAACACAACATTTCCCCTGTGCTTTGGTAAGATTTGGATTTGATAAGACTTGTCCTTGTGCTCCAGGACTTCATCTGGAGCCTTCACCTTTGCAGCTTGGCCTGTAATTTAGGCTTGTGCATTAAAATAGCATCACCAATGGGTTTGACTCTTGCTGGTTCACAGCTGAAGAGCAAATTTTTTTTCTTTCATTTTTTCTTCCGTCCTCCAGACTTCATGAAGCAACATGCATTTAGAGTCAAGCACCCAAATTTGTTCTAGTAAAAGCAATTGTCTAAACGGGTTTGGAAGTCGGGAGGCAGGTCCTGGGTGGAAGTTGAGACTTGGATTCTATTTCTGACTCCTACCTGCTGTGAACTGAGGCATGCCATTCCCACTTTCCACCTGTTTCCTTCTCATCTTGTATCTGTCTTAACTATGTAAATTGCCGGCTCCTTGCACCCAGGACTTGCTGTTTGTGCCACATGGAGCAGAGCCTCATCCTGACCCCGTGACCTTGCTGCTCCTGCTGTGCTGATAACCAGGGCAAATGTTTCTGCTGCAGGCAGGGCCAGGAACACAAGTCAAAAACTGTATCATCCCACTTTAAAACCCTCAATAACTCAGACTCATCGATCCTGGAAACTGCAAGGTGATTTTTAGGTTTTTTTTCCTTAAATTTCTTAAAAAGTATATTGCTCCCTGGCCATGGGCCCATGCTAAGCTGCCTCTCTCTAGAGACAGCAGACAGCTCAAGCCTATAGCCAGGCTTTTTTGAACCAGCTGTATTTTCTCTGAAGCAGGGCCATACAGTAATGTAAGAAGCACATAGGGGTTTCAACAGTAAATCCACACAAAGCTTAAATTTTAAGCTGCCTTTTAGATATCAGTGCTTAGATTTTTTTTTTTTTGGTAGCTTGGAAAATGCTCAAAAGCTTTTTATCCTTGAAAAATATATTTATACAGTGTTCTGAAAAGTGGGAATTGACAAACTTAAGCTTTCAAAAACAGTTTTGTGCAAGGTTATAAATATCTGAAAATAGATCTGGAATGGACAGCTGGACTGAGAGTGTGGAATTGCTTTAAGGTGTGGAGAAATGAGTGACTGTGAGTTTGTCAACAACAAAGAGGGTGTGGAGTCTCCCTCAGTGGAGATATGCAGGAACCATCTGGATACAATCCTGTGCAATATGCTCTTGGATGACCCTGCTTGAGCAGGGAGGTTGGACCAGATGCCCCACTGTGTTCCCTTCCAACCTGACCCATTCTGTGATTTTTATTTTTATTTTTTCAAAGTACTGAAGTTGCTGAGTGACAAATGTGTGGCTAGCAAGCATCCCTCTCTTATTTTGCAGGTGGATTTGTCAGTGGTGCAGCACAGACTCTATAAAACTTAGATTTGAATCAGTTTAGTGTTGCCTGTTTACTCTTTCCCCTTGCAGGCCCATTTCCAAACATTCCCTCCCATGCTCCTGGGAGCCCAGACTGTTCTTCCCAAGGCATTGCTGGTGGTGATGACTGTAGCAGCTTCTTCTCAAGGGACATCATCCTTTGCTGCTCTCAGGGTTGGGTTTTACCCAGTCACACCTGCTGCCCATGAGGGATTGCCTGAATGGCTGGGATCAGGCAGACTGATTCCCTGCTCTCCTGACCAGCATTCCAGCTGTTTCTGTGCCTCTTTTGCCTCTCCTTTGCTGGAGGCAGGCTGCTGTTTGCCAGCTGTGTGTTTGAGTGAGTTTATGTTGCAGTGCAGGTGCAGGGCTTTGCAGCCTTGTCTAGGAAGGCCAAGTCCTTGACCAAGGATGAGGATCATCCTGTGCTGTCTTCTGCCTGCATCTTAACCCTGCTCGTTAAATCTCAGCCTCAGGCATATTTACACAGAGTCATAGAATGGTTTGGGTTGGAAGAGACCTTGAAGATGATGGTCTAGTTCACAGCCACTTGCCATGGGCAGGGACACCTTCCACTAGATCAGGTTGCCCCAAGCCCCATCTAACCTGACCTTGAACACTTCCAGGGACGGGGCATCCACAACTTCCCTGGGCAACCTGTGCCAGGGCCTCATCACCGTCAGTAAAGATTTTTTTCTTAATATCTAATCTAAAACTACTCTCTTTCAATTTGAACCCATTCTCCCTTGTCCTATCACTATATGCCCTTGTAAATAGTCTTGCCCCATCTTTCCTGTAAGTTTCTTTCAGGTACTGGAAGGCCACAGTTAGGTCACCCCCAAAGCCTTCTCTTTTCCAGGCTGAATAATCCCAGTTCTCAGCCTTTCTGCATAGCAGAGTTGCTCCATCCCTCTGATCAACTTGGTCCCTCCTGTGCTGGGACCCCAGAGCTGGAGGCAGCACTGCAGGTGGAGTCTCACCTGAGCGGGACAGAGGGACAGAATCACCTCCCTCATCCTACTGCCCACAGTGCTTTGGATGCAGCCCAGGATATGGTTGGCTTTTGTATGGCTTTTTATATGGATTTGGTGTGGACTTTGTCTATTACTGCTTTGTATTTCCTGGCATAACAAATTCTGCAGCAGTATTTGTGCATAATGTTGTGATTTAGGTTAAAACCCTGCAGGTCACCTAAAGTGCACTTTCACGACTTTCCTTATGAGTTTACTGCATGCAAGTCTGTACCTTTCTCTGCTGAGCTTTGCTTCATCTCGATCTGAAGTTGAGGATCTGCTGCAGATCCTTAGAGAACGGCAGGAGTGGTTGGAGTTAGTCCCGGATTTGCCAGCACTTTCTAAGAACAGAGTAAGGACTTTAGATTTAGCAATAGTGCTGATGTCTGTGCACTGGTTCTCGTATGATTTGGTTTCTCATCTAACTTTTTTTTGGATAGAAATAAAGCATAACAGCAATGTAGCACTAAAATTTAGCTGGCAAAAGTACTTGTGGAAGAGTCCCATGTAGTTCTGTCATAGAAATGGGTATGTACATGGATCTTAAATTTTCTGCACTTTTTTACCACACCATATAAATTGTTATAATGCATTTTAGTAAATTCCGTGCATTAAGAGTTTCTGTTGAAAAATACCTTTTTCCTTTTTTTCCCCCACTGAATAGTTTTTATATCCTTCCTAAAAATAGAAAATAAATATCCTTTTCTTGTTCAGACATGCCTGAATAAGTATATGGAGCAGTCCAGGGATCATGATTCAGAATCGCTTACTTTGATTTCAACTTCACTTTTTACTTCCTCAGATCTTAGTTGGTGGATCTTTAAAAGAGCTGAAGGGTTTTATAGTAACATGCTGTTGTTGATTTCTGCATTAGGATTGTGCCTTCCTGGGTTCACTCTATGCATAAAATAAAGTTTTTATGTAAAAGACTTGCAGGGAGTAAATTGGCTCTGATCCCCTCAAAACTCTGGTGTTTGAAAAAGCAATGGCAATAAATGTGTGCATCTTTTTTATACCAGAAGACCTCTCCTTCCTCCTCATCTCAAGCTTTCTTGGAGGGTAAAATTCTGCGCATTTCTTTTTTAATCGTTTGATGTCAACATATCTTTTCCCTCAGCACAGGTACCATCATTCTCCTGAGCTTTTTGATATCAGCACACGCTGTGCTCTTTTTCTGCAATTGTGTTGTTTTCTTTTGTCAGTACCAGAGTTGTGAGAACTGAATTGAAAATCATTCTAGTGGAATATCTGGAGAGCTGTGTTTCCTCACAAGCCCGAGTGCATGTCCAGCAGCGATGTCTAGGTGCCTTTAGCCAGGAATCTGCTGGAAGAAAATCTCTTGCTGTACTGTCTTGCTTGGCATTAGGTTTTACCTGGGCTGAGGTGCCCTTGAGCTCTTCAATTATCTCTCCTTGTCTAGCCTGGACTGTGCTCTGTTCACAGGAGGTGTAACACAGTACTTGTGGTGTCATGCCTCTGGATATTACGATTTTAGTTCTACTTTGCCACTTTGCAGAATTTCTGAGAGGATGGAGACATGTTCATTTGCAAATGAAAATAGTGGTTAAGAAGTTGTATCTGTCTGTCACTTGTCATGAGGAATCCTGATATTAAGTGCTTGATATGAGAAATACTCCCCTGATTTCTAGTAAACTGGGTAATCACACGATAGGGTGAACTGCACGTGTTTAATATCTTAGAATGACAAGCACTGAATGCAGCTTCAGAGCAGAAAACATGAGCTGCTCATGGTCTTTTGATACAAGCACTAATCGATATGCACTTACTTGATAGGACATTTTTTGACTCAGAGTCTGACAGAACAGTGGATTAATGGTTTGTTCTCTCTTCTGTTTTTTTTCTCTAGTTCAACAGAATGGAGTCCGACACTGCTCCTACACGGCATCTAGGAAAAATCTGTATGTTAACAAAAACACAAAGGTTATCTGTCAGGGTTTTACAGGCAAACAGGTATGCTTATGAGCTATTTCTTCTATCACCTTTTCAGTTCAGAAATTTAATTGCCTGAAAAACTTAATAATGTATGAAAGGGATTATACACTGGATTTGTCTGTCTCAATAGGAAGCTGAACTTCCTTCACCATCAGGAAGGTCCTTCAGCGCTGTGGTTTCCTTTTTTTGACCAAATACCTGTGCACAAGCTTGAAACTTGGTTTTGAGTCATCTTTATAGTACTTTTCATTTTTGTTCTTCATTTTGATCTTAAGACTTTTTATTGTATACAGCTGAAAGGGTTTCTTTGTAAAAGGAGATTTGCAAAAAAAACCCTGTAAAAACCTTACCATTTTAGAAGTACCTCTTTCACAAATGCATTTGAGTATCAATGCCTATGAATTAAATTTCTGATTTTATTTCAGGATATTTAATAATTTTCTCAGATTCACTCTCTTACACATTTGCAAGGGGAGAAGGCTGCTTTTGTAAAACTATCAGCTAGTCATGGATGAGAATGCTAATTTCTTCTATTTTACTATAGTGTTTGTCATCTACCAGACTTGATGTGGACAATAAAACGTGGCTGGTGTGTCTGCAGGTGTATTAGCAACACACAGCAAAATATCCTTTAGCATGCAACTGCAGTGCTCTGATATAAAAGGAGAAGCAGAGCATATGAGCATGGTCTGAACTCATTTAAAAACATGTCAATGCACTCTTCAAAATACCTGATTGTATACGTGTAGTGAAAACTTCCCTTCTCATTGTAAATTTAAGTGCCATAAATTACCTTCAGAATTACAGATAGCATCAGAATTTTTGGTTAATTTTATTTGCTATTACATGCCTTTTAACTTCACTTATTTTCCCTCTCACAGGGCACCTTTCACAGCCAGCAGGCGTTGGACTATGGCACCAATCTAGTTGGAGGAATTTCTCCAGGGAAAGGGGGAAAAACTCATCTAGGTCTGCCTGTGTTTAATTCTGTGAAGGAGGTAATTTGCAGCGGTGACTGGAGGGCACACAATTTAATGCTGCTGAAGGGCTCCTTATTTCATTGCTCACGCTGAAGAGACAAATATTTGAGCCGTGGATGTCACTGGGCAAGGAGTGAAATAGAAGCCTTGTGAAAGAGGGAGCATTCAGTGTGGTCAAGTACAAGTTTGGCTTCCACTGTGAAGTTCACAGAGTCTGGATACACTTGCTTTATGCATGCAACTAGATTCTGATTGATTCTGGTGTGTATGATGAATTTTTAGAAAACTGTTTTCTAAGAGTATTTATGATGGTGATCATGGGGCAGATCCTTTCCAGACAGTGGTCAGTTCTCAGTTCCCTACTTGCACTCTGTGTCCCATCTTCAGGGAATTTAAATCTTGCTTTGATCATAGTCAATTAATACATATCCATTTACTTAATTTATGCCTGAGAATGGATGTATTTTAAATGATTTGTTGTCAGATGTTGTCTCCAGCCCCACTAAGTATGTGATGTATTTTTTTGTTGTGTCCACTGTAGGCCAAAGAGCAAACAGGTGCCTCTGCCACTGTGATATATGTCCCTCCCCCGTTTGCTGCTGCTGCCATCAACGAGGCAATCGATGCAGAGATGCCCTTGGTCGTGTGCATCACTGAAGGGATCCCCCAGCAGGACATGGTGCGGGTCAAACACAGGCTGGTCAGGCAGGGCAAGACCCGGCTGGTGGGCCCAAACTGCCCTGGAGTCATCAATGTAAGTGGTTTCTGGGTTTGGCCCGAGGCTGGACCGTGCTTAGTGGTGGTTTGAATGTTCCATCTGACCTCTCCCACTCTTTCCTTAGCCTGGAGAATGTAAAATTGGTATCATGCCTGGTCACATTCACAAGAAGGGAAGAATCGGTGAGTTTTTGAATATTTATGCATCATCTAGAACTTAATTCATTGCTCTGGTGTTCTGCCTCATGAGGCTGGGCACATCCTGTCCCACAGACAGTTAGTACAGCTTGTCTGCCCTCGGTTTGTAAGTGAATTTTGGCATTATCAATCCTGAAGGCCAAAATCAAGAAGTCTTTCATAACAGGACTGGGTGCTCATGGTAGAGGCAAAGCAAGTGGAAGTTGCCTTAGATAGTGTGATGGCCTTGGTGTCTCCAAAGGAGAGTCTTGAGGAAACTTCCATTTATCTTGGAATTTGAGAGGACTAAGCTCCTCAATGCTATTCCTTCCAATAGCTTGGCTCCTTAGGACCTATTGTGAGCTCATTATTACAGCAAAGAGAAGAGATTACAGGCAAGTTTATAATGTGACAATTTAGACAACTATTGAAACATCACAAGGGGAAGTGACAAATATACCCAGTTCTCAGGCAGTGTAGTTAAGGGCAGAAAGGCAGTGACTTGTTCATGTTAGTTACACACACTGTGTATAATCACACACCCTGTTGCATGCAAATCTTTTGTCCTGACTTTTGTTGACTCCTTTTGTTGGCTAGAAATAACAACTTGATTTTTTAAAAAAATAATGCAGTTCAGGAGCTATAGAGAAAATTCCTCCAAAATATAAATTTCTACTTAAATAGAGCTTCATAAACACTGTTGTAGACAGTATATGCTGTATGTTTCTTGTCAGCAAGGTAACTGGTTTAACTTGATCACTTTGCACCACTACTTCTATTTTTGATGAAAACTGTATTTTTTGTGGGAAAGCCTGTTCAATGCTCTTGAACTAAAGGGACTCAGTGCAGTTTTTCTAGCATGAGAAACTATCTTTTCCTCTTAACTACTTCTGACTTGAGAACATACTGCACCTAGGGAATGCTGGAAGATGTGTTAACGCTCGTGTTACACCTCCAGCTTTCAAAAGTGCCTGTAAACCTGGAATTGAAAAACCAGATGGCTGCAATTACGCCCTTTGTAGAAACCATTGAGACATTGCTCTACGACTGTGAAAAGCAACATCAACCAATGTTGCCCTGAGCTCCCTTCTGAGTCAAGGTTCTCTTCAGATTTTCTAAATACCTACAAGAAATGTCCTGTAGTCACAAGTTATTACAATCTGAATGCAAGGCACGTCAAGTGCAAAAGAATATTTTAAATCCTGAACCCAGTAGCTCTGACATTGCTGGAAATGTTTTCGATGGTTTTCCAAGGATCAAGGAATAAAAACGGAGCTGTGCCATCCTCCCAGCTTCGTCTAACACTGTGATGACCTTGGGTGATGTGCTCCCCAGCTTTCTATTACTGTGAGGCATCCAGGAATCATCTGAATATACTGCTATAAAAATAGCCACAGTCTTTGGACTCTTGTCTGTAGCTTCTCTGGAGCAATCTGATCTTAATGGCAAACATAGCAAGAAAAAGCCTTTGCTAGTACACATCTCAGCTGTCCAACAGTATAAATAGTTGATTAAACTAAGGTTGTTAGTCTAGTGGTGTATTTTCTCCTCTGTTCATGCAATATACTTATGATATTCCTTGCTAGATGGCTTGAAGTAGATGGAAGATTATGTCTGTTCTTCGTAGAAACCTTTCCTTTTGTACCATTAGTGGAAGTCTTGGAAAAATGAAGAAAAAGCCATGCAAATATTTTGCCCCTGATCTGGGCTCTGTGTTACCTTCCACTCTGAATTTAAAACTGGGGTTGTGGTTTCTTGTAATATTGTCACGTAAATGCCGAGTGAGTTTTGTAGAGCAGCAACAAAACTTAATAGTGATAACCTACATTTGTGCAGCATATTTCTGTTCTGGAGGATCTCTCCTGTGCCTGGCCTTACTGAGGATGTGATTAATACAGAATTCTTTTGTTGACTACTGAACTGCAGCTTTGCCTCAAGTTCAGTGCATCAGCTACTTGCACACAAGATAAGAACTATATTCTTCTATTTTGTTTTCAGTTTTCTTTCCTGGTAGGGCTGTAGCATGATGAATTTTGTCTCAGCCAGTGTTATTGAATTCCTGGGCAGGTTTAGTCTGTTGACAGTTAAGTGTCAAAAAGTGACAACCAAGAAACAGTACAGATAGAATCTTACGGAGAGTTTTCATGTTTTGGCAAGGACAGATGGAAAAGCTGGCATCTGGTGTTGTTTATTAAGGTGATTTTCATGAATAAAAGTGCAGCTGCCTCTAGTCATGTGCTTAACTCTGTTAATATTAAGTTTATCTTCTTTTCTTTCCTAAAGGTATTGTGTCAAGATCTGGAACCTTGACATATGAGGCTGTTCATCAGACAACGCAAGTTGGATTGGGGCAGTCTTTCTGTGTTGGTAGGTTTCCTTGGAAACAACCTACTGGACCAAGACTAATCTGGTTTTTCTTTACAGAATAAATCCAAAGTAATTCCTTTACCCAAGTATAGAAGTTGCTGAATGGCAGTCGTGTTGAGAAATGAGATCCCTGTATGCTGTGAAGAGTATAGCCCTTCTTTCTTATTGTTTCCACATCAGGTTAATAAAATCCTAAAAACCAGCTTTGAACAGAGAAGTGCCAGCAAATATGATGTCAATTTGAAAACAGATTTTCCCAAGAAGTTTACTATTATAAGGGGATAGGCATTTAGTTGGGTATGTTAAGTAAATTCAGTTTTCTTACAGCAAAATTCTAGAGCTGGGGTCTCAGTCCTTCTGTGCCCATAATATTTTGTTTACAGTGTGAAAGGTGAACGTTCAGATATCAAAGCTTTCTGTAAATTGTGGGGGAGGTATTTGGAGCAGGAATTTGACACACTCAGACTTGGCAAGAGCCTTCAGAGCTGCCTGTCTCATGAGCCTTTGGGAATACTCCTCATGCTGAAATTTACTTTGCAACTTTTATCATAAATGCAATATCATTATCTTGAGTAAGTCTTTTTCGTGTGGTTTTAATTTTTTTTCAGGGATTGGAGGTGATCCCTTCAATGGAACTAATTTTATTGACTGCCTTGATGTCTTCTTGAAGGATCCTCATACCGAGGGGATCATATTGATTGGGGAAATTGGAGGAAATGCTGAAGAAGATGCAGCAGCATTTTTGAAAGAACATAATTCTGTAAGTCTTAAACATGTTGCTTCCAGACACCTTTGTAGTTAACCAACTTCTTTTGCCACTTCAAGGAAAACTCAGTTCAGTTTCTAATGTCTGCTTACAAAAACAGTACTACAAAACAGTATTACTTTTATTAAAGAGAAAGAGGTGAAATTAGGAGCTTTGTCCAGATTAAATGTAACGGTTGGACTTGATCTTAGAGGTCTTTCCAACCTTAATGATTCTGTGAACTGGAGAGCAGTGTCAACTTAGATTTTTATTCCTGTAACAATGCTTGTAGTGAATTTTTATTTTTATTTTTTTTTGTAGTATATATGGCTCTGTAGAGAGATTTAAATTTCTCTTTGCTTCTGCTTTATGATGGTTATCAGGAGAGAAGGTATTCCACACTCTTTAAGCCTTTTTGTTCGTGTCACCTGAAGTTTCTGGCTGTTTAATGTCTTTGCCTGGCTGGTTGATATTTAAATACAAAATAGAAAATAAAAAATCTGCCATCTGGAATTGCTTTTCCTCTCACCCTCCCCCCTGTAACTGGGTATCTTTTGTTTCTTCCCAGGGCCCAAATGCCAAGCCAGTGGTGTCGTTCATTGCCGGCCTGACGGCGCCTCCGGGCAGGCGGATGGGCCACGCTGGAGCAATCATTGCTGGGGGAAAAGGGGGAGCTAAGGAGAAGATTGCAGCCCTTCAGAGTGCAGGTGTTGTGGTCAGCATGTCCCCTGCTCAGCTGGGCAGCACCATCTACAAGGTGTGTCTCTAGAAATTTGTCCATGTGGCCATCCAGAGCAAGAAGCCACTTCTCAGGGAATACAAGTTGGGAGTGCATCTCTTACCCAGATACTCTGTTGCTCTGGACTTGGTTAAATATAAGAGCTCTCTTGACTGAACAAGCTGAAATTACTACTTAAAAGATATGTGCATACAGTTTTATGTGATACTGTTTTATAGAAAAGTAAACATGGCAAAATAGAGAAGAGATTCCATTTTACTTTCAAGTGCAGCAACTTGTCGAAATTGTTTTCTGGATGCAAAGAACCCAAATTAATTTAAAACATGAGAACATTCTCTGTAAGTAGGATGTTTGAGGAAGGAGAGCCTTGGCATATAAGTCTGTTTTAAGTACTAATTCAGAGTTATGGTTGAATGTATACAGCTGAAAAACTGAGGTATGGAACGGGATTATTTGCATTTTCCTTAGTTGATATCTAAAAGAAGGGGTTGCTTCACAGCTAGAGGAAATGCATAATTCAGCTGTTTTAGGTATTTTTTGTTTCCTGTGGTGACTGTATAGTACAACATCTCCACAGGGTGCTGTGGGATTCTTCTCTTCTTCTGTTGTATATTTTCTTTACTAAAATGAAAATCTTTATTTTGTTTCTTCTCTCGCTTGAGTCCTTTGCTGTAAGGATTCTACTGCAGCTATTACACAGCACTGGGGTTTTTCAAGCCCATTATGTTATGCCTGGGAGCAAATGGTTCCTTGACAATATTGCAGTCTGAGAGCATGCCCTGACTGCAGTCTGGCACTTTCCATAGCTGTTTTGCTAATGTGAGGTGGGAGAATGCTTATTCTCCTTTCCCCTAGCTTGCACACTTTTATGCATTTTATATTTTAATGTTTAATTCCAGTTTCTAATTCTTAAAATAAGTTTTGCTAAGATAAGCACAAAGTAATTTAAAATATAACAGTAATAGAAGCATTTTCTTTTTTCTCCCACTGGTAACATCTGTGTGCTCTTTGCAGGAGTTCGAGAAAAGGAAATTGCTGTAAGAGAAGACACTTTGGAATATGGTCTCCAAAACACCAGTGCAGCACCTGGCCTCTGCTTACCTTTTGTCTGCTAATCTTCAGTTGCCCAAATGACTGATGCCCAAATGACTTGGAAGCCATAAACCTCCTGGCTAAACCTGTTTTGATGTCTCCCTTGTTTCAGACGTTATCACCTCGTTGTAAATCACAGCAAATTAATAAATCTACTACTAAATCTGACCCATCTTTTGAATTCCTGAAGCAGAGCTATTTTCTTCAGTCATCATAAAAAAAAATCCTTTGTAACTTAAGCACTGCCCATTTTTAAGGTAAAGTTGCCTGTAGAGATGCTTTTAAGGATCAAGGCACTGACTTTATGCACATGCCACACTTTACTTTGTTTTTAAAAACTCCAGTCCCACTTGTTTGTTGCTGGCAAGTATGTTTGAACAACAGGCCAAAGTTTCCGTCCATTAAACCAAAGCTGCTGGATCTGAAGGGATTGCTTGTTGATCCACGTAGCTGGATATGCCTGAGGTCCAGACTTTCTCTTCAAGGCTGACTAGCCATGCACAGTGCAGTTCTCTACTGGCAAGGAATTCTGTTGGTTGTGTATAGAGATGGAATTGTTATTCACAAAAATTAATCTAATTTCACATGCAAAATATATATTCAAAATTGTCTGTATCTGTGAAGATGGTTTGGTCTTTAGCTTACATTACCTTAATTGCCACTTTATCTTAACTAGAATTGTATTGCTAGTGTTCTGAAATTCTAATAACAATGCGACATAGAGGAGGAGAGTTATTCTCTAAAAAAAAGAACATAATAAGGTAACTTACTTGTTAACCACTCCCAGCACTGTAATGGAAAGCCCTTTTTTTTTACTGTGGATATAGCCCAAATATTGTACCTATAAATAAGTGTTATAGGTTTTATCAAGGTGGACTAAATCCCAGATTGTTTTATATAGAGGACTGAAAGTTCATGTAACCTGGCACTTGTCTAGAGCTAACCTGGTGTTCCATAAAGGTGCTGTTACAAAAACTTGTGTTGTTATTTATTTAAAACTGTTCTTAGTTTTCTTACTCCGATCCCTGTGGAATTTCTCTTCCTAAAGCAAGCAGTAGGCAGATGTCTCAATGCTGACATTTACAGCTCCTAGAGCTGAGCCCTGATGAAATGCATAAAAGGACAGGTCATATCTGTGCTGCACTGAATGTCTATTAATGCACTTTATATATGGTCACGCATCAGTCAGGTGATCCAGGGACAGAGACCAGGTGCTGTATTGTTCACCTTGGAGTGATTTACTCAGATGAACCTGACAGCCAGCCACTGGATGGCTGAAAGCAGGATTGGGCAGTAAATCATTTGATAAAGTCTATGGCAACAGATAAGGGTTTTTATCTGCTCGGTTTTCTGGTGGCGCCTGATTAAATCTGGAGCAAAAAGACCAGAAGGTGCCCTTTAACTAGAGAGATACACCTGCTAAAATGTCTCAGTCTGTGCAAGAGGGCAGTTCCTCAGCAGTGAGTGTCAGGGTATTGCAGCCAGTCTTCTTATAAGCCTGATAATCAAAGTAACTCATCGAGGTGCTGTGCTGCTCCACAGCACAATCTTTGGGATGGGTGGTGCTTCCTGATGAACTGCCCGAATTCCATCCTCGTCCCCACTATCATAACAGATGATCTTCCAGGACAACTGAGGTGTAGTAAGTTTCCTGCTTGGGGTTGTTCCATGGAAGCTCTTCCAGAGGCACCAGGTATTTTAGAAGACAGCCATAAACTGCAATGATTGCTGCACCCTGAGAAAGCATTTCCTTGTATCTTGAAACTTGAGGATGAGTTTAAAAATTCCCTTTTGATGGCAAGGTTTGCAGCAGTGTCTGGTGCTGCATCTTAGCAGCTGCCTGGATCTGCTCCAGCCTGTGGAAGCAGTTTGTACTAACCTGCAACTGAGTGTCACCAAAGGATGGGGAAGGAACCTGACCTTGCCTGATAGAAATGCTTAGGCTATGCAGTTTCCCTGCCTAAAAATGTGCACTTGACAAATATGAGCTAATTAATGACAATGACTCTTTGGAAAACGTATTCACATCTGTTTAGTGCCGTATGTTCTGAATAAATGTTTTGGGTAATCTGATCTGGAAAATCGTTCATTTATTTGTCTTTTTGGAGGCAAAAGTTAGGTTAGTGCTGAGCCTTAAACCTGTTACTATTTGATAACCCAGTAAGTAGTTTTTATGTGCAAGAGAAACGCTGCTAATGTTGCTCTTCTTGTAAAATTTTTCCTTGATCTACACTTGGCAGTGATGTCTGTCCATAAATCACTTTCGGTTTTGAGAGATCAATTCTAGAAGTTCATTTTGGTTAGGGAAGTTTATTTCTGATTATCTAGAACAAAGAGAGCAGGATGTAGACCCACTTTTTTTTTTCATCTTACTGAACAATACTTGCCTTTGGATGATCTCCAATACTCATTGGTAGGTGCCCCTTGAGTTTAATAATGTTGTTAAATTTTTTTGTGGTTGATTACAGAGGTTGGCACCCACACTGTGCCTTTTGTGGGTCTTAGAATGTGAATTCATGCCTCATTTTTTTTCTTCTGTGTTTATGGTGTTTTGCAGGATGAATGTTTCCTTATGTAATATTTTGGGGGAAGACAGTGGTAAGTTACTCTCAGAGAATCACAGAGTGTTTTGGGTTTGGAATGTACCTTAAAGACCATCCTGTTCCAACCCCCTGCCATTGTCAGGGACACCTTCCACCAGACCAGGTTACTCAGAGCCCCATCCAGCCTGGCCTCTCTATACCTTTGTCCTTAAAATGATGCTCTGGTGTGAGATTCTGGCAAGGGGATTTCTAAAGATTCCCTCTAGTGTAGCACACGAATGAAAACAAAAGAAAATACTGATGCCAATAAGTTGGATCACATAAGGTCTCCTTTGTGCACTGAAGGTGGAGGGAGAAGAAGAGACTGCTGTAAGATGGTCAGCTCTAGATTGCCCAGAGAAGTTGTGGCTGCCCCATCCCTGGAAGTGTTTGAGGCCAGGTTGGACAGGGCTTTGAGCAATCTGGGATAGTGGGAGGTGTCCCTGCTCATGGCAGGGTGGGTTGGGACTAGGTGATCTTTAAAATCCATTCCAACCCCTTAGCGTTCTGTGATTCTACGATTCTTATTTACCTGGTTCTTTCGTGGCAGATTGAAATTCTGCAACAGTGCTAATTAAAACCACTGAGCTGCCGTGTTGAGATGGTCTGGCTGGTTTTAGTTGAATCAAAGATGCAACCTAATTTTGATGTGAAACAATATATTTCAAGCTTTAAGCTGAGGAGAGGAGCACTCCTTCATGGGCCTTGCTGGTGTCAGGTGGATTAGAGGTTGTGCTCTGGCAGAAGGCTGATAATCAAGGAGACTCAAAAGTTCCTGCAAAGTCAGATTGTCTGTCAGCCTAGGGTGGTGACTGATCCCTGCTCAGATTCAGACCCTGGTCCCCACAGGTCCAGTGATTGGATTCCCTGGTAGCAGCCAGGTGTCAGTGCAAATTGGGCCAGGAAATGCTGGGATCTGAGCCACGAGAGACAGATTTGAAGAAGTTTCAAGAAGCAGCTCAGACTGACAACCGTGCTTATGGCTTCAAAGTGGTGGCCAACTTGTGATGCCCAAAGAATGAGGTCTTAATTTTGTTGAAACTGTGGAATTAAGTCTTATGCACAAACATCATAATTTACTCAGTTTACCATCACCTTTACCCTCCCTTTCCTGCTGCCTGTTGCTGGTCAGGATTAGATTACAGCTTTTCCTAAGAAGGGCTGTCTGATGCCATGGGCAGGAGCCTGCAGGTGATTTTGGAAGGTGGCAATAGGAGTTGTGCTGCAGTGGATACCTGGCAGGCAGCAGATTCCAGGTGTTTTGCACAGCAGGCTGTTCCTTCCAGAGCATCTGTACAGGGCTGGGAGTGCTGAGACAGCCTCCAGCTTTGGGATGACCACAAGTAGCTGCTGAAGAGGGGAGAGTCAAGGTTTGATGTTTTCCACAGAAATTTTAACACACACAAAAAAAGATCTCTTGGATATCAACTTCCAGCACTCCAATAGTGATTAAATGAGATTTATACTACATGTCTTTGGCCATATTGTTCAATAATTGTTTTTTTTAATGAATTATTTCATGAGGCATTGAGCTGTATTTCTCTATCAGAGATATATATCCCAGCACAGGGTGGTGCACTTGGTCTGTACTTAAGGCTACAGGCAAAAGCACATTCGGGAATTGCTGCTTGACTTGCATCCAACTTCTGCTCTGTGCAGCCCAAGGCACTGAGGACCCTTCACAGAGGGTTGACTGAGGTGAGTGGTGGGGGAAGCTCAGTAAGGTATTTCACAGTTTAGAGTAAATAATGCACTATCCTGAATTTATCTGCCACTTCCTCCTTTCCTGCCCAGGCTGGATGAACCCTATGACAGAATGTACAATGGAGATGATTCTATGATAATTCAGGAATTATAACTGTTAGGTACCATTTTTAGGGAGAGGTTGCTTTGATATGTCCCCTGTCCTTGTATGTCTGGCAATTTGGTTTAGTGTTGAATGGACCTAAAATCAATGTGAACAATTTTGCGAAATTTCTTGACTCAGAAATGCTGAAACACTCAGTTTTCATAAAGAATTTGCCAGCTTGTCCCATCTGAACTCGAGGTGCAAACAGGTTGGTTTCTAGACATGGAATCCTGAGAGTTTTGCTTCAGTTAAAAACTTCAGGAAACTCACTAAGAAGATCACCAGGGTTGTGGGGATTTTTGGGGGGTGTTTTTTGGTGGTTCCAAGTCTGTTTTTTCGGTGGTTCCAAGTCTGGTTTTTCTGGCACCTCTTCTCTTCAGCCTGATATCTGTCAGACCTGCTGAGCATCCACAGCTCGCTCGCAGGACCCAGAACCAGGCAGTTCACTGCCACTCAGAGCATCCAAAAACTCTCGTTAAAACTGACTTGCTTTCTCCAAGTTACATGATCTCAAAAGAAAAGGAAAGAGATCACTCTCTGTTTACACAAACCACATAAATTTATAGAACTGGGAGAAAAGAGTGCTATAATGACTAACCACACAGAGCAGTGTTTGTGCTGGCAGTAGGTGCAGTAGCCTATAACGATGTCTGTGCTGTGCAGATACATAATTAAGGGTCTCTTAAAACCTATTCTGTTGCTGTAAAAGACAGCACAGCAAATTTATAGTTTTCAGCACATCTGTAATGTAACGAGACAGTCGCTTTAAAAATCCCCACCAGCCTCCAAACCTGTTCCTTTTCATTTGCCTTTTTGCTCTCTAGGTGGCAGGTTTTGACTCCAAAACACTGTTTTGGTTCCTTCTCTGAACTGGGGCTCAAAATGTGCCGGAGAAATAGAAGATGAAAACAAACCACTACTACTGTATTTTTTCTCGGTGTTAGATTGATTTATGATCATGTCCTTTCATGTGAGCTGGAGAGAGGTGTTAAAGAACCTGCCTGGTTTCCTCCCAGTGTTCTCAGTACACCTGTGATGTTGAAATTTCTTCTTGGTTTTTTCATGCTTGTGTGAGTATGTTGTGTGAACTGTGTGGGCTTGGCAGGCAAATGGGATCTGCCTTAGAGAAATACCTGTCTTCATTTTGAAGCAGGCAAGAAATGGCTGGGACTGTTTTTTTTCAAGGGCTTAGCAACTCTGACTTTCCTTTTTTCTTAAATTCAGTTGCCCAAGGCTGGAGGGGGGAAGAGGAAGGGCTGTTAGGGAGCAGAGAAATGAATTGACAGGCTGAAAAGGATTTTATTTTTTTTTTATTTACAACAGGAAAAAACAACCCAAACAAAACCAGTGTGCAGTAAATAAAACAAACTCCTATGAGATAGTCACTGGCTGCTGACTCTCTAGAGAGAAGCAGCAGGAGATTTTGCTCTATGGAAGAAAAGCATCTCCCATGGGTCTTGTCCACCAGGCTCCATACACTGAAGGTGCCCAGGGCAATGGGTGAGCTGTGCCCAAAGGGCTTGGACCAGTCCCACTCCTCTGAGTGCCAGCTGGGGGACAGGACCAATTTAGTTTAGTGGAACCAACCCTGTCTAGTGGAAGGTGTCCCTGCCCATGGCAGGGAGTTGGAACTAGATGGTCCTTCTGAGTTCTCTTCCAACACAAACCATTCTATGATTCTGTGATTGAGGGTCTTAAGTGTCAGCCCTTGCCTGGCAAAGAGGCTGCAGGGAGTCTTGTGAGCTGGGAGTTCTGTTTGGAAATGGCTGCTGTGCACGTGGAGCCAACTGTGTGGAGGCACCTGCACGTAGAAGTGTCTCTGATTTGCGGCCTAAAGGACTGTGTCTTACTCAAGGTCACCCTCTCCTTTCTCGTTCTGCTTTCAGACTGCAAGTCTTATTATTAACTAGAGCAATAGCTGCAAGGAGGAGAAGCAATAGACGGGAGTTTTAGTCTCCAGTCATTTCAGTCATTTCACTAAATGTATTTTATTTATCTTTCTGTAGGCAACTGTTATGCTTGTTCAAGCCAGGCACTGAATTTTTTTTCTTTCCCAGAGTACAGATGTACAGAGTACAGACTTGGATGTAAATCCAGCCAAAGCTCACAGATTCCAGCCTTGACTGTGGTTCAGCCCTGTCCTGAAACATGGAATCTGGGGCAAGATCCATATCCACCTCCCAAAGTTTAGACACGTGACAGAAGTGATTGCCCGGGGAACATGTATGAGAAACAAGGCAAGGACAGCAGAACCTCTGAAATGGTCATGTAGACACATTTTATTTTTGTCCTCCAATGATTATAGCAGAAACTTAGACACCCAAGACACACACCTTCACACCTGCATGGGGGTGGCTACACCAGCAGGACAACTTGGTTGGCTCTATCTGGAGCTACAGCCCTCCTCACCTTGGCCAACTGACTGACCCAAAAATCATGCTGGAAGTTTCTGCCACTCCCACGTTTGAAGTCACCTGAACTTTCCTTCCAGTTTCAAGTTTACAGGATCTTACTCAATATGCGCCGTGTTATCCTCGTTTCTGACGCATTGAAACACAGCAGCAAATCTGTATTTTTCAATTTGTCCTGTTTATGGTACAGCCCATTTCCGTTGCAAAAACGCTGTTAATAGTTTATTTAAT